AGCCCTGGCTGTCCTGGAACTCACTGTGTAGACCAGGTTTGCACCAAACTCATAAAGATCCTCCTGCTTCTGCCTCCCAAGTGCTAAGATTAAAGGTATGTGCCGCCATACCTGGCCAAATTAATTTTTTTCAATGTTTGTAAGATCCATGCTTAGTTTAGTATTTTTGCATGTGAATGCTCAATTGTTTTAGCACCTGTATATTGAAAAGACAATCTTTATTGTATTTACTATTTTTTTCTCCTTTGCCATAGTTTAGTTGACTGTTTATGTAGATCTATTTCTCTGTGCTCTCTTTAGCTCTCTTAGCTCTCTTCATTTCCTTGCAAAAATATCTGTTTGTTCTTTGGTTAATATCAGTTTGTCTTGATTTCTGAAGAGAGTCTTGAAGTTGGGTAATGTTGGTCCTCCAACTTTGTTCTTTTTTAATATTGTCTTGGTTATTCTGGGTCTTTTGCCTCCTTATAAACTTTAAAATCTGTTTGTTCATATCCAGAAAATACATCACTGGGTTTTGATTGGGACTGATAGATTTGTGAAATTAATTCTTTGTCTGTTATATAGGAAGAAATATATAGTCCATGACCTTTATGGAAATTGCCTCAGTTGCACATTTGGATGAAACCATCTTAGAAGATTGACCGGGAACCTAGAGCTAGCCAATTAAGGTCCTGCAGGCAGTGTTAAAGAAGACCTCAACCCCTTTTTAGGGTTACCTAAGGAATGTATCATATTTTGCCTGTCGGTCATATATAGTAGTTTTGTTATAGATAAATTAATTGCGTACCTTTACTCTGTATCAGAACTCACAGTTTAACACCTACACTGATGCACGCCTATTCCCATTTCTCTGTTTGTAGGCTCTTATAATCAATGGAGCCAACTTGGCAGCTCAAGATGATCGTGGATGTACTCCTATACACCTCGCTGCCACTCACGGACACTCGTTTACTTTACAAGTTATGCTGCGAAGTGGAGTGGTGAGGGACTCCTCTTAATTAGTGGTGGGGTGTGATCATGTAGATGGTCTAGGATTTGGTAGTCTGGTTATCTCGTCCTGACTTTAAAATCCTTCCTATGACTTGGAGGAAGTAATTTTTTCCCTTTAGTTTTCCCATCTTTAAACATGGATACAGTAATTGAGACAAATATTCCCCTGCCTCTCACCCAAATGAACAGTAATACAAAATATTTCAGAGTTTTGTGTTTGGCTGCTGGTTCAGAGCTTAACTGGGAAGATTCTGAAGCTTTTAAACAAATCTTCACCAGGTAATTATGTCTTTGTGAATTTGTGTATATCTACAAAATGCTTTAAAAATCTTCTTTATTTCAGCCACCAGTTTAGGAAGTGATTTATTTCTCTAGGTTTTAATTTATTTATTCTAATGTTTATTATTTTTTTAAAAATATTTTTAAACTGGCCAGATGGTGGTGGCATACACCTTTAATCCCAGCACTTGGGAGGCAGAGCCAGGCAGATCTCTATGAGTTTGAGGCCAGCCTGGTCTACAGAGCGAGATCTAGGAAAGGCATCAAAACTACATGGAGAAACCTTGTCTCAAAGAACCCCCTCAAAAAATTTTAAACTATGTGTATGTGCTTGTGGGTATGTGTATATGAGTACAGGTGCCTGCAGAGGCCAGAGACCTCAGATTCTCACTGGAATAGTTAGAGGCTAATGTTAGCCTACTGATGTTGCTCAGAACCAAACACAGGTCCTCTCCATGTTTACCTGCTGAGCCACCTCTCTGGTTCCCTAGTATTTATTTTTGATAGTCTTCAGTGGCTGTCTAACTTTTTTAAAGAACAGAGCATCTACTGACTATGATGGCTCATGCCTGTAATCTCAGCATTTGGGAGGTTGAGACAAGAGGAGTGCAAGCCTGAGGCCAGCTCCCCCACCAGAAAGAGAGGCGAGGGAAGAAACACACTGCCAATATGGAAGACACTATAGTAAGAGTCTTTTCTAGGAAGTAAAAAATTAAACATTTTTTCTTTTGGTTAATTCTTTATGTTGTCAAAGATAAGGCATCATTACCCATCCCATCCTTTTTATTTTATAGAGTAGGACTGTGAAACAATTACTTTTAGTTTCTTTGAAAACATTGTTTTATGCGACTAGTAGTTTTCTTTTTAGAAGGCTGTTTTATAACAGTTCACTGAAAACTTCATTGCTTATGTGTTCAGGTCAGTGGGTGCAGTCAAGTTTTTATTATATTAAATGTTTGTTGTATAATTTTAAGAATAGCTTCTAATTTTCAGTTGCAGAATCAGGCTTCTAGATTTACTGCTTTTCTTACAAAATGGCAAGAAACCGAGCCTTTGTGAATTTTGCCTCTAGGATCCCAGCGTGACTGACAAAAGAGAGTGGAGACCTGTGCATTATGCAGCGTTTCATGGGCGCCTGGGCTGTTTGCAGCTTCTTGTCAAGTGGGGGTGTGGCATAGAAGATGTGGACTACAATGGAAACCTTCCAGGTGTTGAACTAAAGCAAACATTTTAGTTCTTCAGTGATAAAGTATTGAAATGCTTGATCATGTTTAAGAAATTTAAACTGTCCCATCATTCTGTAATTTCCTCATGACGCTAAAATAGTAGATCAGCTGATATGAACATCACATCTGTGTTATATACCCTTCGTGATTTCTTTTCTAGAGCTGTCCCAGCAGTAGAGAAACTGGCTCTTCTTTCTCTTTTGCCTCTCCCTCCCCTGCTTCCTCAGTATTCATGTGGGATCCAGCTGTGAGGGCCTTAACAAGTTCAGCAGGTGCCTGGTCACTGGGCTATATCCCCAGGGTTAGTGCTTTTTTTTTTTTTTTTTAAACTTCCTTCCTCTCTGCCACTCCGACAACTCTTTTACTATTTAGGTAGTAAGAGGACACACATATGTATGAGCTGCTTTGTTAATTGCAGTTTAAGTTTAACTTAAAGCAAACTAGCTAGTTATACATAGATTCTAAACACCCTGTCTTCTTCATGAAGTGGTATTGAAATTCAGAAGACAGAACACAGAGATAGCAGTAAAAATGACTCTTGAGGGCTGGAGAGATGGCTCAGCAGTTAAAATAACTCACTGCTCTTCCAAAGGATCTTAGTTTAATTCCCAGCATCTACATCAGGTGGTTCACAGCTGCCTGTACCTCCATCTCCAGCCAATCTGATACCCTCTTCTGGACTCTGTGAGGTCATCGGCACTTACCTGTACACTTATCCACACATACACACATGATTTTAAAAAGAAATCCTTGAATTATACCTTAAAGGAATCTTAAGCACTCATATGAAGAGTAAATCTAGACAGATAATATGAGCGAGTCTGATCCAGTTGCTTTGCTGTTTAGACCATCTCTGGATCCCTGTGGATCCATGATTGTTTGTGTTTAGACCATCTTTGGATCCCAGTGGGTCCGTGATTGTTTGCCTTGGTATGCTGAATGCTGTTTTCTCTTTCCCTGTCTTGTCTGCCTTCTGACCTTTACACTATACTATTATACCAGGCTTTCTTTATGAAGTATACTTTTAGCATTCTTTTTGTGAAGGCTTGGTTGCTATGAATACATTTTTCTTTAATATGTGAAAGTGATCTTACTTTGCTCTCATCATTTTTAAACTTACTCTTTTGTTCAATTAAATCTGTCTGTCTCTGTCTCTGTCTCTGTCTCTCTGTGTGTGTGTGTGTGTGTGTGTGTGTGTGTGTGTGTGTGTGTGTGTGT